TCCGAATTGCAATTCACCTAGTACGGGCTCCAATGTCACACTAGGCAATTCTTATGAACTACTCGACTTGCCCCAATTGTATGTGGCCAAATATGCAATTCTTCTCGCATGTCACAAAATAAGCTCTCCCTGACCATCATTTACTAACGTACAGTACCCAAATATAGTAATGACGTCATGCCCAACATGAATTGTATGATTGAACAGTAGAGGGCGCTGATACATACTCATATACCAGACCAGTCAGACACCATATTCATTCAACAGCTCCTTAAAACCAACAACGTTGAACTGCTGCAATTCCACTGGTTTCGCAAAAGGTTGGTTCGATAAATGAAGAACTTCATGCACCTGGAGAGTAGCAGCTAAAAAACCCACCATTTCATCATTTAACAATCGTGCCTCTTTCTGTGCGTAATTCTATTTTGGTAGCAATAAGCAAGAAGTTTTTTTTTTCACTTGGAAAAGGTTGGGTAAACGCGAATCCACCACAGACTGGTCTTATTTGCAGCAAATATGTTGCTATTATTTATTCATGATATGCAGTGACATCACAGAAAAAGAGTTCGAGCGTGCGCGCTGCATAATGAAGTAAACTTTGTGGGTCGTGTTAAAGGTCAACTAGTCAGCCATGACAATTACTATGGCTTTCAATTTTCTGATTCGACAGTGCCAAACTGTATTTTTATCTAAACAGAACGGAGCAACTTCAAATGCAATCGATTTCCCGCTTCCGGTCGGAAGGGCAACAAAAACGTCGTGGCCATCAGTAAAACCATCAATTATTTCTTCTGGGCAGATTGAGCTTCACTGTTACCCAGAAGAGATAAAGCTATACGCAGGCTACTTCTCTACATTAGAATAATTTGTATGGAATGTTAAATAGTAATTAGTTTTTTATGATTGACGATCGAGAAACTTGAAGAAAAGTCTTCAGATACAAAGGTTAACGAGATATAGTTTTAAGGTCAAATTACTCTGATTGGGTAACGTTTTGGCCTGTCATTCTGCTCATTAGCATAAAAACAAGTATGAAAAACACTAGTTCCTGCTCTCACCGCAGAGGGCGCGGCACAAACTTCCAGTCTGGGTGATTTTGCGGTTACAGGGAATTTCGCGTTAACACCTCCATTTCGCTATTTTTTTATTTAATTTTAAATTGAAAAAGAAATAAATCGCCCATACTGTGCCAGTCTAGCAAGGAGAGTATGATGCGTTTAATTTTAAATCTTAGACATGTCAACGTTTATGTTCTCAAAAACAAATTTCACCGTGAAGACGTAAAAACAAGTTCGACTTTAAAATCCGGGTATCACCATATCGATAATTTCCCTGACCACCACATGTTCCTTGGACTTGGCCTAGGTTTGGCGTTATTTAAAATGTTTCGATTTTGTTTATTTTCGGATCCCTATTGCTTTACTAAGACAATGGCATTAGTATGTATGTGGCGGGGAAGGCAAAACAATAATTGTGTATCTCGACGGTAGACTAGGGACAGGAAATACCTTTCATTTCTATGTGATGCCTAGGTAAGACCAGATTTGAAGTCGTTCAGAATTTTAGAAAATGAGCATGAATGCCAATGATATCCCGTTTGCAAGATTACTTGGCTGGGTACTCGACACGAAGTAAGGTGAGGTCTATATCACTGAGGGCAAGCTTGTTAAGTTGCGCAACGCAATTTGCAAAATATTAGCCCAAGTGGGCGTTGACAGCAGAACAGATTCACTATTTTCATACAACAAGGTTTCAACACACACAATATTTGGGCACATCTTCTCTATGTGGATAAGTGTAGGTAATATTGCTCAACTGGAAGACAGGGTCTTTTATACAGATTAACCAGTCAGTATTTAGAACTGCTAGCAAAGGCCGCTGTAGGTGATTTTCCGAACAATTGCGAGATCTCGCGAGATGCATGAAAGACGCGCGTCGAACGTCTGCCGCAAAAATCGAACGATTTGATTTTGAACTCGAATTTCCTTATTTCGTAGCTCACACCGACCGGCCGAACTTCGACAGAGGAAGTACACTGCGCGTGATTATCGCAGTGTACGGAAAATGGTCTATTGACGAACTTCGGTTTTGGAAGCAAATGCATGTAGGTTGAAGGGCTTTTGGGGCACTTCCATAAGCAACAACGTTAGTATATTTGGACGCCTCAAGCGTCGCATTCAGAGGTTATGTTGTCGAGTATGATGACTCTGTCATCCACAGTATATGGGACACATTTGAGAAAGGTTCCAATTCAGATTTGTGAGCGGCATTATATTCCTGTTGCCAGGTAACTTCACAATCAAAATGTCGTGTTTATTGTACACAAACGGACTATGAAACCTGATCTGCAAGTTATTACTATTTTTGGCCCTTGCTTCCGTTTTGCCCTTTCCGTCGAATTGGAGTGGATACAGATGGGGCTAATGCAAGAACAGACTATATTAGTAAAATTATCGTCCTGAATGATTGGTCAATTATTTTTTGCTCAAACCAATGTTTGGGACTAGGGGTGCCCTGGTAATTTTGCTATGGAGATCAGCTTATTGCCGGCCGCGATTGCGTCTAATTTGTTCGCAATTTACAAGCTTCGTACTGATTGGCTGAACCTGCACTGCGATTATTTTTCTGTATGCTTGCTCTATTCGTACATTTCTAATCTTAAATGGCGCTGAACCTGTGCGACAGTTGTGTTGATAAACATTGATTTTCCAACAATTCAATGCGCTCTTCTAATGGAAATCACAATTATGACGCAACTTGCACTAATTGCCGACCGTAAAATCGTCGACACCTTCCAAATCACCAAAACATACATAATTAAAGCTCGGTATCCTTCCAGTTTGTACTGGTTAATCTGCACAATAGTAAAAGCCGCCATCTTGTTAATACGAGACCCATTTATCTTGAGCATGCGCGGCGACGACTACTTCCCCTTGAGTGAGACATGGTCCCACTGGAGTTTTGTTCCAACTAGGCACGGTGCTGTTCGGATTGTGTCTGTGCTACATACAAACGTTTTCGGTATATACGAGATGCGATCGACCGTTTGTTCTGAATCTTATGTTACAAGATTAAAAAAGAAAATATACCGCTACTTGTGCTCGCCTCGAAAGTACAATTGGATTCATAGCAGCCTTTAAACGTTTCACGATATTGAATCCAGCCAATAGTGCTTTATCCTGTTTTACAGGGCGGCAATGACGTTACATTTCTTAATGCTGTTACTATGCTCAACGCATTCTGCCTTTTAAAGTGTTGATGAACGTTTGTATTTGATTATTTTTCTAATAATTATCATGAATACTAATTATTTCTTTAAAAAAATAAGTCACTAATGAAGCTCAGGACAAGAAAAAAAATGGCAGCACAATTCTCCTTGTCGACACTATTATTGTTTGATATCCTGAAAAGACTTGTTGTTAATTTCAAGCGCGTACTGTGAGAGAAAGTACCGCCAACTTTTTCTTGAAAAGATCGAAATAGTGCAGATGTGTGAGCTGAGGAAACAAAAAGCAAATTTACCTAGATGTTTTTCGTTGTAAAACAACACATTTTTGTCTTTTATCTATTTATCACATTATTTATTTATCACAACTGCGACTCACACTACATTTACCATCAACGGTATTTTAATGATGGATTTATTTTTGAAATAAAATCTTGTTTGGAGGATATTTCATCAAATATCAGTATTTCGGATATAACAAATTGCGATTTCAGTTTATTGAAAGTGGATACGAAATTCCAAGATGGCATTGGAATTTCAAATAATTCACTGTAAATATCTGATCTCTGACACACCATCACGATTTTATCTATTATTATTATACTAGTACTATTAGTGTGATATTCAGGTAATCGATTGTGTATTCAAGAGTTAAAAATCCGAATACAGAAATGTGTTTAGTAATGTGGGGGACGCATTGAAAAGAAGATTAATTCATGGTTTAATCAGTACCGTCCTGGTGATCATATTTACCGTGTCAGCCGATAAATATGTGAATTCTTGGATAGTGTAAATGATGAGTCTCAGCCATTTTATTTTCAACTTCAAGCACTCTTTTGTCCGCATTGCATCCTCTCATATACTGCTGCAACCATTTTAAACTCTGCTTTCGACATTGTTGTCCGCTATTGTCCTCGTCATCCATTCTTCTTGAAAACTACAATCTGATTGCTTTGATACTCGGTGTACCCTTGATAGAGATCTATTAGTAGTTTAGCATCCACTATAGGTACAAAATTGAGGGCGCTGTTCACCATGGGATTTGATGACATCATAATGGTATTGATGACGTCACAAATGAGG